TTCACAAACAAAATTGTCTTTATTCTAAGAGATACTCACCATGTTTATGGACCATACTATCAATATTAAATTGATGCTCCAACTTACAGTGTGAAAATGTTTCCTCAGCAGATGTGAACAACCTAAAGAGACAAGCAAAGCCTCATGGGACAGTCTGTGGGAGAAGTCAAAGTACTGACCCCCGCCCCAAAATTACCCAAAGGCTTTTGGGTAACACAGCTTTCCCTGATAAATTTTGTGTCATGAAAGTTCCCTACTTGATTCTCTTTCTCCTCACGGAGGTGAACCAGCAGGGCGCATGCGTTGAGACAAAGCGTACAGCTGGCACACTGGCTGTCCACAGCACCTACATTACAATGGGAAGAGTAACACTTCTGTTCGTCGTCCCCTCCAACACTGAAGGACACGGAGGACAAGAACGCACAGCAGAGACTCTGCATCCCTCCTCTGTTCACCTGGCGCACAGATAAATGCTTGCCAGGATAGGTCATCTGGAGCATCCTCACAGCTATCACAGCACCAATAAATGCTCATTCCTCCTCTCCAGTGAGGTGCCACCTGGGAACTCATATGTCACCAGTCTGCAACGTGCCCCAAATGTTGGGGGCTCAGCAGCACTGGTCAATGTCAAACACCCCTTTTGAGCTCACACACCCAAAGTCACTGTCTTGAAACTAAGATACAGGATTTGAAGCGAAAAGTAGGTGTGTTCTGGGACTGTAAACCCGCAGTTTCGTGACCTTTAACAAGCTGGTGGCTCTGCAGCCTCATTTCCCCTAAGTACAAAAGGCATTAATTCCTCCCTCAATCATGGAGGTGGGCTAGGGCTGTTTACATGGCTCCATGAAACATTACAGAAGACTACTGGTCATGTTACAGGATGGCAGAAACAGAAACGCCCTCCAGAGTGTGCACTCCCAAAATCGTTACCCAAGTAACAGGATTAAAACTACCCATACTGTGTCTTCCTTCATGGAAACAGAGGACTCCATCCCTGATTTAGGGCTGAAGTGTGGAGTTCTGCTTTTTTGGTGTGTGTGGGAGGTCAAGCTATGTAGTTCAGGTTATTCATGGCCATTCTCCCTCCTCAGCCTCCAGAGGGATTGTATGCCAAACCCGGAGTGTGTGTGTGTGTGTGTTGGGGGCGTTGGCTAGGTCCCGGAGTATGATCTCTGTGTGTGTGTTGGGGGCGTTGACTGGGTTGCAGAGACAAACCCAGAGCGGCTCCCGGCTCCGCCCACCCCCGGACCACGTGAGCAGCCCCTGTCAATCAGCTGCCAGACGTGGGCCACGGCCTCCGGCCCGCCACGTGCTCGCTCGTTCCGTGGCGCGTTTGCCACGTGGGCACGAACCTGTCACAGAACAGGCAGGGCGTGTGCTGCCGGCCGTGCGCGGGCTCAGCATCCTCGTCCTCCCAGCCGGCGTCGTCTCCGCTGTCCGACAGCTCCGGGGGCTCCGGCCCCAGCTCGGCGCCTTGGCCTGCGGGGCACACAGTCAGCGCCGGCGCCGGGACCCGCGCCCGCCCGCCCTCGCCCCGCCGCCCGCGCGAGGGACCCACCGTTCCCCGCCGCCAGCGAACACATGGCCGCCGACCAGGCGCGCAGCCGCACAGCGCGGCACCGGAGCCACGAGCGAGCGCAGACGCGCGGTAGCCACCAAGCAACACAGACGCCGGCCGTGCGCCGGCCCGAAAGCGCTTCCGGGTCACGTGGGGCTACGGGGGTGGGGCGAGAGGACGGGCGCCACTCCCGTCCGCTGCAGAGTGGACGCGCGCGCAAAGGCAAGGTTGAGCGCGACCTGCCGCAGCGCCATCTGGCGGCGGAGGTGGCCAGTGCGGGCTAGGCTCGGAACTCCAGAGCCCCATACAGAAGAAAGGCTCAGGAACTCCTACCCGCCCGGCGCCGCCTACTAGGGGTATTAAAGTGGGAAAGTGAGAACTTGGAGACACACACTCTTTGAACCCTATTTCAGTAGCTAGAATTCTAAGATCGTAAGACCCCTGCCTTCTCTGGGCCTCAGTTTCCTGTCTGGTAAAACAAACACGATCTTGACTGTAGTAGCCTGAGGGCTATAGTGAGGGTTACATGGGTTCACGTGTGTGAAAAATCTAGGCATTAACCTGATCCCACACCATGGAAACAAGTGGACTGTTTGGTATGTGCCAGCAAACGATGCTGTCTGCCTGTGGCGATTCCCACTTGTCAGGCTGTGTCCTTTCTAATATTCCTAGTATCTAACCATGGAATTCCCTCAGACAGGTGGGTAGCAGTAATTCTGGGTAGGTCATTCCTACAAGCTGCAGCCTAAGGCTGGACTATGCACGGGGCATGTTTGAGGACATAGCCAGCTAGGCCTGCATGATGCTTGCCATCAGCTCGGCTCAACCGCCGTGCACACCCTCAAGCCTGTGTCCCGCTGATCTCTGAAGCGCTTTAGTGGGCGGTTCTGCCTTTTCTGCTCCACAACCAGGTCTTTGCTCACATGGCCACTGTTTATTTTTTTTAATGTTTTTATTGAGAATTTCATACAATGCATTTTGATCATATTCTTCCCCCCCACCCCTCTTCCTACCCCTCATCTTTGTATCGTTTTAAAAAAATAATTAACATGGATTCTGGTTTCCATATACTCTGGGTGTAGGGACATCCGCTGGAGTGTGGTCAACCTACCAGAGGCCACATCCTTAAAGAAAACTCCATCTCTCTCTCCCGTAGCCTGGGAGGGGGGGCTCATGAATCCCCGCCCCTCCACATCAGAATGCTACTGGCTTGGTCTTGAACAGACAACCACAGCTGCTGGGTTTGGCACAGAGGTCCTATCATGGCCAGAAGACACCGCTTCTCTGCAGTCCTCCCTGGTGCTGAGGGTCTTGTGCCATCTCTAAAAACACATGGTTATTCCAGGCACAGCCTGTGTCTCTCTCACTGCTACCCCCATCTATTGACTTCTCCATCTCCTCTCCTTCCCCTTCTCCTCTCCTTTCCCACAGACCGTAATCCACAGTGGCTCACAGAAGAGGACGGAGCCCACCCAATGTTAACTTCTCAAGTACCCTGACATTCTAGGACACTGGCAGAAACCTGCTGACCCCCTTGGCTAGTCGACTGCTCACTAATTTATTACCAATTTGATAAGCACTTGCTGAGTAAATTAATGAATGGATGCTCTTTCTTTACCTGGGCCCACCCAGCTTTCCTCGCATAAACCTCTCTCTCCAGCAAAGCCCATTTTTCTCCGTCGAAGGAACCTGCTGAACCACAGGGATGCCTAGATGTTGACAGGTGACAGTAATGCCAGTCTGGAGGTGACTGGGCCAGATTTCTGGGAAGCTGACAACTGACCATGGTGCAGGGCTTGGGCTTGGCCGAATTTTCTCTTCCAAACATGAGCGCAGGTCCTTCTAACGTTACTCTACTGCTACTCAGGTCTGAGTGTGGACTCACTTGCTCCTTAATGTTTGATGCGCAGAAATTATCGAGAGTGATTGGCTATGGAGTCTGGGTGCCTTCAGAGCCTGCAAGGCTCAGGGTATTCTTATGGGTACCCCCAAAGGCTGCTTCACTTCTTGGGGCCCCAGACTGAATGAAACACGTTCAGGCTCTTCCAAGCCCAGCCGCAGCGGACCCCAATGGCAGGAAGTAAACTCCTCATTTTGAGACAGGGTTTTACTACATAGTCTAGGCTGACCTTGAACCATGGTCCTCTTGCCTCAGCCTCCCTGGTGCTAGGATTACAGGCATGTATCCAGCACTGCCTTCTTGTAGCACACATTCCAAGATCTCAGTCTGCTCTGGAAGATTTAACGCTGACAACGTCCACTGTCTTCCAAGAATGTACACCCATACTGTAGGGACGGTATTCACTGAGCAGTGTCCACCAGAACCAGAGGTATAACTGGGACATGGACTCCGTCACTGGAGTCAAGTGACTCGGTTCCCCAGCACAGAAGTTATACCTGCTCCGTGATGGAACTGGCACCGTGTGCTCCTCTAGGCACTGACCCTTCCCTCTCTGTTTTCCTTCCTTGCCTGTTTAACGTGTATCAGCTCAGGCTGGGAACATAGGGCAGTTGGTAGACTGTTTACCTAGTATGCACGAAGCCTTGGAATCAGTCCAGCACTACAGAAACTGGGCATGACAGGGCACACCTATAACCCCAACACGTGGGAGGTGGAGGCTGAAGTATCAGAAGTTCAAGGTCATCCTGGACTAGTCATTGACTTTGAGGCCAGCCTGGGCTACCCAAGACCCTGTCACAAAACAAAACAATAGAAAAGCTCACCACCACCCTGAGTCTTTGAGCTTAGTGCTGGAGAGCTTTAGATTAACCACTGTTTGCAGTTGATTGTCAGCATCCTGGACCAATGGAGAAACCCAAGGATTTAAGTTTTATGCATTCATAATGTGCTAAGTTATCTGGAACCCTCTAGAAATAGATGGACATGAGGTACTTTTACAGAATGGTTAAAGAAACCAGCTTCAGGGGGCGGGATAGATGGCTGAGTGGTTAAGAGCACTTGCTGCTCTTCCAGAGGATCTGAGTTCAGTTCCTAGTACCCACATAGATGGATCTGTAACTCCAGGTCCAGGGGAGCTGTTGCCATCTTCTGGCCTCTGAGGAAACGCACACATGTGGCAGACACACAAACAAAAAATAAATTCAAGTATGGGATCAGGCTGAGTGTAGTTAATCTCGACCCCGCCATATCCTAGCTTAGCTTTTCAGCTTTAGACCTTGAGCATGGTGTTTAGAACCATGTGCGCCTCGATTCCCCATTTGCAATGTGAGGGTGAGAATAGAAATTTAAATGGAAAAAAAATAAAGGTACAAGGGCAACAGTATGACTTTATAATACTGCAGGGCAGAGTTAGAGTGCCAGGAACATACTACCTAAGATTCTGCAGACCCTGCCATGTTAGGGGCTGGGGTGCCATCCCCGGGGGCCATTGCTGCACTTTCCCACTTGGACCTCCACAGTTTTCAGCAACTGAGCCAGCACTCAGGGTTTGGCCATTTATTTTTATTCCTCAATGAACCACAGAAGCTTGTTTTACATCTCCTGCGCTGCCACGCAGTAAAGGCACAGGGTGCACTCCGCTCCGTGCAGCCGAGCGGCACCATGCGGCTCAGAGACGAGACAGTCTGTCAGCAAGCTTCACTGGCACTCGCCTGCCTGGAGGGCTAGGGCCCCACTGCTCAGTGCTCAGGCGTCTCTCTCGGAGAGCTTTAAAGCTGGTCTCCCAACCAGAGGACATAGAAGTCAAAACCACAGATCCCTGTCCTCAACCCACAAACTCCACAAGGGCTATGATACAGACCTGTCCTTCCACAGCTCCCTGGGTGACTTACATGGACAATGGGTACAACATCAACAGCTGGAGAGCACTGGGGTTTCCTGATTGAGCTGCATGGACACCACAAAGGACTACAGAGAGACGTTTTAGAGACCCCAACATGACTGATTCGGTGACAGGCACTGAGGTTTGAGAACAAGCCGTCCTCCCATACGGTCACAGCTTGGGCCCATTGCTGTCTTTCCCCAGGTGGATGATGGCCTTGTTTTCCAGAAGTTCCATTTGTCCACTGCTGGGACTCACCAGGTTGTTCAACATCGCTCTAACCACGGTCACAACAGGCACAGAGTGCCCACTGGCCCAGGACTCCGGCAGAGAGCCGAAGAATTTCCTAACCAGCCATTCGCCTGGACGAGACTCTTGCCTGTCACACAGCAGGACTCTAGGAGACAGAGAAAGGCAGGAGAAGAGATGGCACATGCGCTCAGACTTTATGGATACTTCACATTGAGTTCTGTTCCCCCAAATCTCTCGGCAGAAGCCCTAACCCCAAAGGTGACTGTATTTGGAGATGGCCTTTATGGAGGTAATTAGAGCTCAGAGGTGTTGAGGGTAGGACAGGCCTGCCGTTCTGGCTAGAAGGATATGCATGAGAGAGGCTATGTGAGGCCAAATTGAGAAGCTGGCACAGCCCACAAGGAGGAGGGGCACCTCGGCAGACACCAGCCTCCAGGCCTCAAGAAAATCAGTTGGCTCATGTGGTGGCTGCAAAGTTTGATGTGTTAAATAAAGGGGGAGTGAGGTACAAAGGCAAAAGGTCATGAAGTGAATAAAACTTAAAATGTTAAGGAAAAAAAAATGCAGGCAGCATCTTCTTCCAGAAAGTTCCCATGATTCTGAGGCAGCCCCAAGCTACTCTTCCCCCTTCCATACCCCCCAAGCCTAAAGTGGGTCCTTTGGAGAAGCAGCTCACGCCGAGCCAGCCTCATTCACAGATGGCTTAGCTGTCAGCCTCTCTACTCACCCTGGCCGGAACACTGAGAAGCGATCAAACTTTAATTCTTCAACCTTGGCTTCCACTTCTCCCTGTTAACATTTAAAATAAAATTAAATTAAATTAAAATTTAAAAAATCAGTGTTTGGGGGCTAGAGAGATGGCTCAGTGGTTAGGAGCATTGCCTGCTCTTCCAAAGGTCCTGAGTTCAATTCCCAGCAACCACATGGTGGCTCACAACCATCTGTAATGAGGTCTGGTGCCCTCTTCTGGCCTTCAGGCATACACACAGAAAGAATATTGTATACATAATTAATTAATTAATTAATTTTAAAAAATCAGTGTTTGGCCAAGACCAAAACACTCAGATAAAGCCTGAGAGGGGGTCACTCAGGCCTGAAGATAAACTGCTTCTGCAGCTCCCAAGACTCACGTTAATCCCAGCGGCCAGCCTGAGTCTAGAGTCTGGACAAAAGGAAGAGGCCATTTAACCCTAGCACACTGAGAGTCGTCCACTAATGGTCAAAATGCAGCGTCACCCCCAGACCCTGCGGCTCAGTGACCACGCAGCTCAGTGACCACTGCAGAGGAGGAGGAGCCGAAAGATCGTAAGAGCCAGAGGTTAGAGTGGACTGAACAAAACTGTGTCTTCTGGACCCCACAGGCCTGCCACACTCATGAACTCAGCAGCTGTGGCTGCCTGCACGCTATCAAGCTAGCCAGCATTCTAGCATGGAGGTGGGTGGGGTTGACAAACTTGCACCCCTAACTGAGGAGCAATGGACAGCTGATGGCTTCTAGGGCAGAGGAGGTGAGTTTTTTTTTTTTTTTTTTGAGGTGAGTTTTCTTTAAGGGTGCAACCCCTGGTAAGTTGGCCATGCTCCGGGGGCACTCCCTTCATTAATGTCTAAAGAGACCCAGAGAGGGTAAATGAAGCATCAATCCAAACCCCTTCAGTCCCTCCTCACTGGCCCCACGGTCACCTTTTCAGTATACAAGCAGTTGTAATAGATGAGAGAAATACGGTGATCAGGAGGCGAGCCTCCACCCAGTGGATCCTAGATGACCCTCTGTGTCAATCACTTCTAAGCGTTAGCAACCCCCACTCAGATCTCAAGAAAACAATGAAGTGACAAACAGAGATGCTTTAAATGATGAAGTCATGAATTTTCACACCAGGTGAGTAATCAGAGGCCAGGGAAGCTATCATGTGACATGTTTTTCAAGGTCCGCTCAGTAAAGAGACCCAGGTGATGAAGGGGGTAGGCCTAGGAACCAATTTAAAAAAAGATGGAGCCAAGACTTCAGGGCGTTGTGCCAGACAAAAGGGGTTAAGGCAACGGGGATCCCCGGTGATGTCTAAGACTCCAACGAGGAACTGACTCTATAAACGACAGGCGTTTCTCCACGTCCAGGAGATGACTACAGACAGATGCGGCCTAGCCAGACAAAAGCCCTTTCTCCTGGTGTATTAGGCAAGAGGGAAGTGTGTGTCTGAAGAAGGATTTCATGCCGAGGAGAACCCGTGTCCAGAGACACAAGGCACAGAACCAGGTCCATCCTCCTGTGGCAGCACCTCTACTTTACTGTGAGGAAATGGGAACTTCTGGTTAAAACCAGTGGCAACCACGTATTGTACTGGCAAGAGGTATAAAATTCTGGCATCCTGGCCAGAGAGAAATGGAGGGAGTGTCCATCTCTGAGGCTGGGAGGCCATGCCATCCAAGACCAGGGCTGCCTCTCCTTTCTCCACTGACTTTGCTGAGTAATTCATGGGGAAGATATCTTTTAAACCATACCTGCTTTCTAAGTACGTTTCTCCCAAAACAGTCCCTGGAGCTTTGGAAAATACACAATACAATGAGGTGTTTTTTTTTTTTTTTTAAAGATTATACTGGCTACTTTGTATTGTCAATTATTCTATGTATATGGAAGGGAGAGCACACACAAACCTTTACTCGTAGGTATAAGAAACTGCTGGACTTATCCGCCCCCTTGGAGGACAGCAGATTGAAATGTTTGCACCCGCCTGCTCTTGCCAGCTCTGCAGACTTCAGCACGTAATCTCGGTCAACACGGACGAATCCTTCCTGGAGGGGAAAGGACCCGAGTTATTTCCTAATGTCGCATGCTCGTGTTAAAGATGATTCCCAGGGTTGGGTGGCAGGCTGGGAGGCCTGGGGGAAATGGGATCTAAACAGAACACATCTCTAAGCCATGCTCGAAAGCCAGACTTAGACCCCGGGGAAAGGCTCCAAGGGTGAGTGTCCAGATGGAAAGAGCAGCTTCAGCAGCAGAGACAAGGACCCCACCACCACACCACAGGGATGGCAGTGAAGCCCAGACGGCAAACAAATCTACCAATCTTTTTGTCTTTCTCTGTGTCAGCTCTACCAGGCCAGGCTCTCAGGGTACCACACAGGAACTCCCAGGCACTGTGAGAATGGAAAGCGTGACGTCCAGTTTACATGGAGCCCTTGCAAAATACTGGATATTATATGGCAATGCATGCCTTTCAATTCTTTGAAAAACTGGTACGTGTGTAATCGAAAAACGTTGGAAAGGGGCTCATCAAGATGGCTCAGTGGGGAAAGGCACTTGCCACTCTGAATATGTGTTTAATTCCCAAACCCATGTGTGGTGGGGGAAAAGCACCCACTCCACAGAATTGTCCTCTGGCCTCCATAGTGTGTTTGGCTTACTCACTACCACACACACATGGACACACACACACACACACACACGGTCACGCACACAATCTCACAATTTTTAAATGTTTGGAGAAGACTGCTTGCCATGAGTGACTCCCTCCTCTAACCACCCAAGGTTTAGCCCAGCGAGGACAGTGCTGAATCTTCATTCTTAATCTACATCACAGGGTCAGAGTTCCAAAGATATCTGAATAAATAGGTAAACTCAGTTCAGATAAAACAAACAAACAAACAGGACTACATAATAAGGGGGCCTAACTGAAGGACACATGGTTTCACCCCCAAGTGAACTGAACCCGGATCCTCTGCAAAAGCAGTAAGCCACTAAGCCATCTCACCAGCCCCGGGACTCAGCTCTTTACCCAGAAATTATCACTATCTTCTCTGGTGTTTTATACCTTGACACTCAGACCAAACAACTCACTTGCCAGGCCAACCTATATGCCGACTCAAATTCGTGTTTCTGCTTCTTAACGTCAGTGCGGAAACAGCCGAGGGAGGCGTGCGTGCGTGCGTGCAGTCACAGCACTTGGGAAGCAGCGGTGAGAGTCGTGGCAAGTTTGAGGCCGGCTTGGTAGTTGTAACAGGGTCTACTAACCAGGGCTACGTAGCAAGACCATGTCTCCAAAATACAATAAATAAATGAAAAATAAATAAATAAATGTAAATTAAACCAAATTGCAACACGTTTGAGAGGGAACGAGAGAGAGAGAGAGAGAGAGAGAGAGAGAGAGAGAGAGAGAGAGAGAGAGAAAGTTGATTCCCTTGGTTTCTCTAAATGGAGATTTTAGATAGGCTGAGAGGAGACAGGAAAAACCCAAACGCCAGAGAAAAATCCTTGGTGGACCTTGCATATTTATTTCTTTCCCTTACTCTAAATAAAAGCAATTTTAATAACTGGTTTATCCTTCACAGTGCACAGTTGACTAGTAACATAAATTTTGCCTTGTGTTAGCACAATGCTTTAGACTATTATAGCTGTCTGTGTTCTGATGCTTTTTTTTTCCCCAGCAGTTTCTTTAAAAACAAGAGAGGCTCAGCCAATCACAGGCCTCCAGACCGACGCTATCTCTCACTTAATCCAGGGCCAGGAGAGGGGTAATTTGATTAAACTGAGACCCTAATTTATTTGGCTTTAGTTCTGGATCAACCTCTCCTTAATAGAGTGCTGTCGCCCCCCATTGTGCGGTGGAAATGAAAGTGGCATAAATGTCACGGGGCTCTTTCAATCTGATTAGCCAGTGGAGACACATCAATACCACCCCAGCCACCGGCTCTGGCGTCCTTCCTTTCACCAGCCCGGCCAGCAATTGACAACAGCTTCTTGAAGGACCAGCACCCACGCCAACGTGTGGACCCCCGTCCTTAGCCCATCATCCCCTTTCAATGGGCCCTGGTGACAAGGTGCCCACACCTTTCTCCAGGGCTGTTCTCTTAACAAAGCTAAATATTGTTTTTATTAGCAATCAATGGCTGTTAATCCCAACCGACTTCACAAATCCGCTGAGCCCTCAAGCGCATTATAAATACGCACTTTTCCAAGCGCACTAAATTTTAAACCTCACCTCCTTCACTCTGATGGCGTGGCCTTTTTGCTGCTGAATTAGACTCTAAAGGAAAAGGGTCAACGGCTTCCAAGGACTCAAAAAAACATGCAGAAACGAGGTCCCTGGGACTGGCTAGAGACACCAATGTGTGCTAGGTTTAGGGGGGGTGGGGCAGTTGGCATAAGAACGAGTCTGTTTCTCTTTAGAAGGACCTAGCTTTAATCTTACTCCTGTTCCTGCTCTCTACTGCTCAAATTAAAAACAGTAAAAAAAAAACTTTCGAAGCTACTCCGTACCCCAGAGACAGTTTTTCTGAACAACTGTACCTCACCGTCTAACCATACAGCCAGAGAAAAGCCAGGCCTCTAAGAATATTAAATCCTTCAAGGTAGTGAGTCTTCAGACCCCATCGCCAGTGTGCCCTATGCTAAGATGGAGAAGCTTTCTAGAATCAGGGAATAAGTAAGTTTCCACGGTAAGTTTCCTTCCTAGATCTACTCAAAAGAACACATACACCTTGGCAGAGATGCGCTCAGGGGCTCCGCTGCAAGCTCAGATGATTCCCCTGAGTCTTCTGAGTCTTATTAAAATGCATCTTCTGTCTTTTTACACATGTCTGAAAACTAGCTAACAACACTACAACACTATGGCTCTGGAACAACTCATCTTTGCTGTCATTTTCTTGTTGCTTAGAGATAGCATCTCAGGCTGGCCTCAAACTCACTTATGGGGCCAACAATGATGTTGAAGCCCTGATCTTCCCCGCTCTACCTCCCAAGTGTGGGGATAACAGGCCAAGGACAACTCACGTCAATAAGAGTGAAGGTTTGAGTGAGGAATGTCCCCGAGGACTTGATCTCCAGTAGGTGGCGCTGTTGGGGCTATTTCAGAGACTGTGCTGGGTGAAGTATGGCACTGGAAAACAGGCTTTGAGGTATCAAGGCATCACACAACTCCCAGTGGGCTCTCTGCTCCTACTTGTGGTTCAAACCTGAGCCCTCAGCTTGCCCCTCCAGCTGCCAAGCCTGCCGCCTGCTGCTTCTGCCCTGGCATCCTGGACACCCATCCTCCGGAACCATAAGCCCAGATAAACCCTTCTATAGTTGCCTCGGCCATGGCGCAGAAGCAGAAAGGTAACTAACATAACAGGATAGCTAGGCAGTGGCAGGACCAGAGGACACTCTGGGACGACCAATGGTCTCCAGGCCCTTCGTGAGGAGGAAGGCCTCTCCCTGTGTCAATGGTCTCAGCTGTGATTCTGTTGAGGGTTCCTGTTCCTTCACCTCTTTTCAGTTCAACCCTAAATCAGAGTAGACAGCAGGTGCTGGCAGGAAGAGGATGACTTCACCTGGAACCCCATGTGTGTCCTGGATGGCAGCTCTCGACCCGGGGTACAGAAATGAGAGCCAGAATTAAAACAAAGACACTCAAGCCAAATGGCAACTGAGGATTCCTGAGTCCGTCGCTGCGCTCACTTCAGATGTTCCTCTGCTGTGAATGTAGTCAAGGAATTCTGCAGGTGGGAGGGAGCTGGGTGCTAGAGAAGGAGGGGCGCTCAACAGGCACTCACCGACAGACTCAAGGCTACACACACAGGACCTGGGATCTGGGTCCTTGGACTGTTACGGACTTCACCATATCACAAGCCTCCTCCTGAACATTAAATAAAACGGTGGAGCTCAGAGCAGGGCTGGGCATCTGATGCTGTAAAGTAGCTGTGAAGGCCTGCCCACCCCTACACAGACCCACCGTTATTGGACAAAAGTGGCCATACGCGGTACGAAATGCAATGAACTTGGCTGTGTTCTAACCAGTTTTTTATGGATACTAAAATTTGAACTTACTGTGCTTTCATGAGGTAAAATCTTCAACCATTTAAAAATATCTGTAGGCCACGGGCCATACAAAAATTGAAGGCAAGTGTCAGTTGATGTGGGAGTGTCATATATCAATCTGTTGATTTCATTGGTTAAGCAATAAAGAAACTGCTTGGCCCTGATAGGTTAAAAACATAGGTGGGAGGAGTAAACAGAACAGAATGCTGGGAGGAAGAGGAAGTGAGCTCAGAGATGCCATGCTCCTCTCTCCCAAGCAGAGGCGATAGCTTTGCTCTCTGAGGCACACGCTATGAAGCTCCGACCCAGGATGGACGTAGGCTAGAATCTTCCCACTAAGTGCACCTAGCGGTGCTACACAGATGATTAGAAATGGGCTAAATTAATATGTGAGAATTAGCCTAGAAGAGGCTAGATAGAAATGGGCCAAGCAGTGTTTAAATGAATAGTTTGTGTGTTGTTATTTCGGGCATAAGCTAGCAGGTGGCCGGGGTGCTGGGGATGCAGCCCCGCCGCTCTTATTACAACAGTCAGTCAACTCCCAGGCTGGATTGTCAGAGCATATTATTGGAATTGGCAGCCAAGAGTCTACGGATGCTTAATAAAAATTGCAACGGCAATGTTAATCACCTTAACAGCACTAAACATTTGACAGTATCCACAAACGGGCTGCTAGAGACCACTGCTAACAGGGAGATATGCAAAGGGGTGAAACCACACAAACTCACTACCCAAATCCTCCTTCTATTTCACACAGGGGGAATGTATTATGCCCAGCATTGTCTTTGACTTTTGCTCTTCAAGGTACATTTAGTTTGCAAGGGTATCTCAGCTTTTGCTTGGCCCGGGCGGCCAGCTAAAGCAAGAGTATTAGAACTACAGTGCTTGGAAAACCAGTAGGTGAAGATGAATACAACCCCATGCCTCCCAAAAGCAAGTGCAACAGGAAAGCAGGATCAGCTATATCAGGCTCTCAAGGAACCTGCAAAACAGACTCCAAGCTTCTCACCTCAGGGATGCCCATGCAGCAGGTCTGGATTAGGGTCAAGTGTGCAGGCTATTGTACCAGCTGCACAGCTGTGGCCTGGGCACACGGAAGAAGTTTAGCATCTAAGCAGTCACTGCTGAAAGACATTGGTTTCCAAATAGCTGGAGAAAGCTAAGGCTTCTGCCTAGTGCAGCCTGAAATCCAAGGGTTGAACTGTAATCGTTAAAGGATAGCTTAGGTGTAATAGATTAAGTAAAAATGCTGCAGATCCCCGAATGGCTGCAGCGGCAGAAACACTGCAGATCCCTGAGCAGCGGCAGTGGGCAGTGGGTCCTGAGAGCAGCCAGTCCCAGGTAGGAACAGTGCAGTTCCCTGAGTGGCTGCAGCGGGTCCCAGGTCCCAGGCAGAGAATCACGTGGTAGGTGAGAGACCTCGATGGGGCAGCCAGTCCCATGAGGATAGACAGACAGATGGATATGCCACGAGTCCATGCCACAGGTCTCTGGAGGTGGCTGGTCCTGGGCAGGGAGCCATGTGCAGTGGATGAGAGACAGAGGGATAGGCACGCCATGCAGAGTAAGGTTGGACATTTATTTAGTGGGTTATGGAAAGGAAGGGGAGAGGAGGGAAGGGGGAAAGGGGAAAGAGCAAAGACAGACAGAGAGAGAGAGAGCGAGCAAGCAGGGGCAGGGTGACGGGGAGTAGGGAAAATGGAGTGAGGCAGAAGCTGCCTCTTTGCAGGGGGTGGGGAGACAGAAAAGAGAAGGGACTCTCACTGGAAACTGAAGATCAGCTTCAGGGGAGGGAGTGGGCATGGCCTGTCTCTTAAAGGGACAGGACAGATCATTACATTAGGTCCTAGCCCCTGACCCTCAGCATGTCATCTTTCTTGGAGAAGGAATCATTACAGATGGAATTCATGATGTGACTGTCCTTAGCAAACTGGCCCCTCATGCAATGTCAATGATTCATGTCCTCATAAAACAAGACAATAGCCGGACGATGGTGGCACACGCCTTTAATCCCAGCACTCGGGAGGCAGAGACAGGTGGATCTCTGTGAGTTCGAGGCCAGCCTGGTCTACAAGAGCTAGTGCCAGGACAGGCTCCAAAGCTACAGAGAAACCCTGTCTCGAAAAACTAAAACAAACAAACAAACAAACAAAAAAAAAACCATAGAGACACAGATGCATGCATTAGGGAAAATGTCATGGGCAAAGGCAACCAGAGAAGGCAGGGAGAGAAACCTTCCATAAAGGAAGCGACCCACTAACCCACTAATACCTTGACCTCAGACTTCTAATCCGCACAGCTAGGAGGCCACACATGTTGGGGTTCACCCAATGCCACTGGGCTGTCTTTATTCCACAAAGAGTCACAGGGCGACTAGCCAGCTACTCAGAAGACCTGAGCACTGAGACAAGAGCCTGAGCTTCTCCAAGTTTTTCCACTGAAAACTTAGACTGCTGAGGTAAAATCACAGTGTATTCCTGTAACAAACAGCTACTAAAAGACACAAGGCCTGCCACCAGCATTGCAGTGTCCATTGGGTTAGCCACATGGCTAGTCCTCCTCCAAAGAGGCCTACTAACCCAGAATCCCGGCGGGCATGAGCTCAGAAAGTCACAAGCCCCTCTGAACCATGATTCCTAGCCACCTGTATGTTGTCACCTCTCAAGTTAAGGTACTGCAACCATCAAACAGTGTATCATGCTGAATCCAAGTGGTCCTTTTTTAAAGGTCTCTGTCCTTTGCTTTGGAGACAGGGTCTCACAAACTCCAGGCTGATGCCACACTTACAGCGTAGCCTTTCACAGTAAGTGCTGGGATCACAGGTGCATACCACAGCAGGTTTTGAAAGACTTAAGAGCTGAGCTCCACACCTAGAACCTACAGACAAAAGCCTGAGGGGGTATGCAGTGTATCGCTATGGCAAGATGGGAGGCACAAGAGAATATCCCGGAAGCTCGAAGGCTAGCTAACCTGAAGCATGGTAGGAGAGAGATCTTGTTCCCAACAAGCTGGGAGAAACACCCCAAAGTTGTCCTTTGATCTCCATATATGTAATGTAAGTACGCGTGTATGCACACATACACGCACACATTATGCTCAGATCCGCAGAGTACCCCAAAAAACAACTAAGAGACTGAGTCCCATATGTAAAAGCAAAGAGCCTTTATTCTTACTCAAGTTCGAACTCGGACTCTCCCTGTGTCCAAGTATTGGCACGACTGGAGAGCCCTAGCACAGTTGGGGTGGGGGTTTATAACGGCAGAAGTTGGGATGAGGGACTTCTAAGGTTCAGGATCCCTGATTGGCTGACATTTGTCTAGGGGTGCCCTGGTGAAAAGGGGATTGGGTGTGTGCTGGGCAACATCAAGTGATTCTATCTACAATATTTGGAACGTTTGGAATTTCCTTCCGGATGATCTGTTCCAAGGTGGTGCGTGGGTGGTCTCAGTTTGTGGTCTTTCTTGAAACCAGGCATTGCCTTAGGGTAAACTGAGACTCAGTTTCCTGTTGGTCTCTATAGAGCCTGTCTTGGCAGGTGTGTACCAAGGTGCCCTGGGTCCTACAACACACACACACACACACACATACACACACACAAACACACACCCTTTCTAGAGGCAGTATCAACTTACTTCTGCCCATTCTCTTGGCCCACTGATATTAGCTTATTCACCTGGCTGTTCTTTGCCCTTTTGAGTTATCAATTACCTTTATCTTTTCAGGCCGATTGGAAAGACAAACAAAAGGTACTGAGTGACTTAAGAGGCGAACCTACTTCTCATTTCCCCAAACACTATTTTTGCCTTATCGATGCTGAATGCAGCAGTTCCCTTTGCTGAGTCACTGTCCAAGCCAGGCTTGAGCCTGCGGCTGAAAGCTGCAGCGCTTTTGGAGGACGTGCTTCTTAGGACTGCACCAGCTGAGCAGGTACAGGACCCCTTTCAGAGGAAGAAAGGCAATTCTTAGGAAAGCAGAGCTTCTCTGTAATCCATTCCCCAGCCCTGGCTCCCAGGGTGGAAGCGCAAAACTGCACAGGACAGGAATGTCCATCTCAACTGAAACCATTTCTAGAATTACCTTCTGCAGTACCAAAAAGCCTAGAGAGACACAACCAAGCCACGACTCTGCTCCTAGAAACCGCTGTTCAGAGCCCCTTCAATTCACTGGTTTATAAAAACTGCAGTTAAGAGGGGCTGGTGAGGTGGCTCAGAGCAGGTACTGCATTGTCAGAGCACCTAAATGCAATTCCTAGCACATACACCAGGGGGCTCACAACGGCCTCTCCCTCCAGTTGCAGGGAGAACCATATCTAGTGTAAACCACTATAAAAGTTAATATGGTCAACTCGACCTGACCTGGAAGCAAATCTGTGGACATGTCTGTACAGCGTGTCTAGGTCTGGTTAGCTGAGGTGGGCAAACGACCCTAAATGTGAAATGTGAGTGACACCATCCATGGGCTAGGGGCTTAAGCTGAACGGAAAGAAGGAAGTGAAGTGGGCCCTGGCATCATGTTTGTTTCCTGACTGAGGACAAAAGAAGACCAGCTGCCTCGGGTTCCTGCCACCCTGTCTTCCCCCCCACGATGGACTGAGCCCTCACCCGGTGAGCCAAAATGAACCTGTCCTGCCTCAAGCAGCTCCTGCCAGGCACTCTGTCCTGCTCCTGAAAAGGTGGCTAAAACGACCATTATGGCAGAATCAATATCCAACTTATTTAGTAGAGATGTGGACTCCAGCCAGCAAATCCTGCCAGAGGAATAAACCATACTAAGATGTAAACTGAATAAGACATATAAATGCTTGCCCAGGATCTGTATTATAAAGCACGACTTTTACCTCTGCAGTACACGTAGCTCCTGGAGAGGGGCTGACTCGATTTAGCACACCATTAAAGAGAACATAAAATGCGCACTGAAGCAGTTTTGCGTCAGTGGGGGCTGAGTCATCTCTGGCTGAATCACCGCTTAGGGCTAAGTCATCATGGGGGCTGACGGAATCGTGCCTCTCTCTGGGTTCTGACGATCTAGTTCCTAAGTTTAAAGGCTGACTTGAGAGCAGGTGGAACAAATGAGTGAGAGAAAAGGCTGAAAACATTGATTATGGAAAGACACATAAAGTTAGTTTACCACCCACGGCACGAGCCAACTTCTGCCCAGAGACTGTGGGCTGCTTCCCTTAGTCAGGGGACGTTGTGATGACCGTACCATCCCCATAGGCATGATCGCATAAATTTCTGGGACGGAGCCGGCATTCAGGCCCTAACTCAAGGTTATTCTGAAGATGAACTTATCTGCAATGTCCCGTGCGTAATACAGATGGGGCAGCAGATGGAATCTTAAGCACATTCTACATTTAAGCACTGCAGTGCAACCCCAAAAAAAGAGAGTAAGCAAGAAAGGAGCCCTTGAGGCTGCAAAAATGGCTCAGCAGTTAGGATTCCAAAGTGTGTCTAGAGAGGACCCGAAGTCAGTTCCCAATACTAAGTCAGGTAGCTCATAAGCACCTGTAATTCTGATGTCCTCTTCTGGACTCTGCAGGCATCTGTATCCTCTTGTGGTCATAACTCCCCTTACCCCTTACCCCCCTCACAAAAACACTTAAGAGAAATAAAGCTTTGAAAGAAAGGAAGAGGCTCTTGACTGTACTGGCCAGTGAGAAGAGACACAGTTATTTCTTGCTCACCACTCCGGCTTTTCCCCTGGTGGTGCCCAGGCAACAGAAGCCAACATCATGACCTTGAAAGGCAGCGGCGTAGTCATCCAGCTTCTCAAAGTCCACCACTTCTTGATTCTAGACAAGGAAGGGCACAGCGGCATATAATTTCACACACGTAAAGAGACCAAACACCCTTCAAGATGTAAAGAATAAGTAACAATGATCGAGGTATCTAAACTCTTAACATAAAGTTTGCCAAACTCCTCTTTCCCACCATAAAACCGACCTGGAGCTGGGTGTAGAACTCAGTGGCCAAGTGTTTGCAGGGTACACGTGGGGCCCTGGGTTGTATGCCCAGCAATGAAAAAAAAATCTAATCAGTAGTGCACATGTGTGTTCACAGAACATGCAACTGCAGTAGGGTAAGTCAGATTTCAAACAGCAAGGTCATGTATATCTTACCTTTGGGAAAACAAAAAGCCAATCTCTACTTTACCAGGAAGGAAACCATTCGGGTAGGATGTGGACAGAGTGGCAAGTAGAATCTCAAGGATCCAGGTTCAAATCTTGGGCCTAGTACTCACAGACATCCAACTGTGGTCAAGTTTATTTTTTTTTAATTAAATCTCTTAAAATGTATTTTATGTGTATTGGTACTTGCCTGCATCCATGTCTCTGCACCACATGGATATAGAGTCAAGAGGTCCTGAAGGGGGCCCCTTGGGTCCCCTGGAACTGGACCTAATAGATGGTTGCAGACCACTATGTGTGTGTGGTGAAAATCTAACCCAGGTCCTCTGGAAGAGCATCCAGTGCTCTTAACTTCAGAGCCATCTCTCCAAACCTGCGGCAGACTGTTGACCAGACGGGTGCCTCCGTTTGTCCAGCTCTAATGTCTGGGTGATAACCATTCCTTCAGTTCAATTCAAGAACTACCTTCATTAGAATCATCCAGAAAGAATTCAAGACAAAGGCACCTTCCTGGGACTTGTTCCGATCCCTGTGATTCAGCCTCCGCAGTTTGTATAGCTCCTCCTCAGTATCTCTGTCTTTCTCTGTGTCTCTCCCTCCATCTCTCTCCAGGCCAGGCTGGCCTCAAACTTCCTAAGTAGCTGAGGCTGCCCTTGAACTTCTGATCCTCTTGCCGCCACCTCCGAAATGCTAAAAGGACAGGTTTGCTCCACTATATCCAAGCTACGCAGGGCTAGAGACTGAACCAGGGGTCTTGTGTGTGCTAAAGCAAGCTGTCTATCACCTGAGCTGCATCCCTAACCCCATCTTGTTTTCCTCCATGGTCTTTCCAATCTACGCTGAAACTGGTATATGCTAGGCAAACTAAGAGTGCCTGTAGCCCCAGCACTGGCAGAAACAGAGGCGGAGGAACTGAGTTCAAGGCCAGCCTACACTAGCTAGAGAAACGCTATCTCAAGCCTAATCATCCTGTATCCTGCCATCAAGCTTGCAGCAATCCAGGAGCTCAAATGAAATATTGGGGGTTGTCACTACCTTCAGTTCCTTCAGAGGGATTTTCCTGGCACAGTATATACTACATGAGAAAAAAAAAAAAAAAAACAAAAACAAAAACAAAAAAAAAAGCAAAACAAAAACCAAAATAAAGTCTGGTAAAGAGACTTGCCACCAAGACTCTACTCTCAGAGAAAACTGCAATCGTAGGCTTCACTGTCAGAATCTCCCCAGGGCTCAGGAAACTAGACTATGGAGCCCACCCAGCACCCACCTGAGGCCAGAGAGGTCTATTTAAACCAGCAAGTTCTGATGCACCAGACATTTGTAAGATGAACAACCAGGAAATCACAGGAATCAAGAACACGAATTTGCAAAAGTGCCCACCAGCCCACAGGCTGGGACCCACAGGACTGAACTGTGGTCCCAGGAGGACTTTGGTCCCGGCAGGATGTGGTCCCGGCAGGATGTGTTCCAGGCAGGATGTGGTCCCGGCAGAATGCTACACTGTTTAATCTGCTGCAGTTGATAGGTAACTCTGTTTACTGGAGAACAAAATAGAGGCGGAAGCTCTGACTTCGGATGCTTAGGCACGATGACCAGATGGAAGTCTGGCACTACCATGTGCTTTAACCCGGACAGTGTCACTTACAAGGAAGGCAGTATTGCATTTACAGACACAGGCCTGGGAAGTGAAGTGGGGACAGGCGGGGAAAGCGCCACCTGTCCTTGTCACACATCCCCACTCTGTGGAGTGCACAGGTAGGCAACATGAGCAAGCACTGTGCTCTAGGAACTAGCTACACACAGGCTTTCTCTGACCGCCGTTCCCCATTCTGGCCTAGGTTCCAGACACCTGAGAGCGGCAAGATGATCTAGGATAAAAGGCAGGCCTACAAGCCAGGGTTTGCTAGAAGGGCTCTTCTAGATCAATCGAACCCAATTTTGATCATTTTTTCCGTCTTCACCACCACCTGGCAAAAGAACAGCCTTTGGGTACTGACACCTTCCCCTCAGCAAAATGACTGCGGCTACATATTTTTTTTAGCCCCAGCTCAAATACCCACCACATTTTTATAAGCTTCCTCCTCGAATGTGAGCTTCCTCCGGCCAATGAGCGTGACTTTGGAAAACAGGTTCTGTCCCAGGATTTCTTTTAAAAGTACTTTGCCGGTTTCCCCACTGGCGCCCAAAATAAAGACGGATTTATTCTGCATCTTGAAGTCTTCCCGAAGCTTAGGCAGGGCCTCCTTGTCCGCCATGCTGGGGAAACAACACCCACAGGGACTGTGTCAGAGTGCTAAGCGACAATCTACACTGGGGAACAAGGGTTGTTGATCTGTTGGGCAGAAGAGATTCTTCTACACAGTCCCAGCCCAGGGGAAGCGCTGAGTCACGGCGGGGCTCGGGACGAAAGCCAAACCTCAAATGTGCCCAGCTGGATGCGCTCAGGTGTCTTTCTACCCCACCGGGCCTCTTACACGACCACCGTAACCCGGCCCGACTGGACAGGGCTGCAGGGCCGGGCTCCATCCCCTACCCGGGGTTACCTAGGGCCAGCCCCGGACCCCTCGTCCCCACGCTGCAGCAGGAGCATCGAGGCCACCAGCGCGGCTGCCACCGCGCCCAGAGCCCAGGTGCCAGGCATCGCTCCACAGGCGGCCCCGCAGTCTCCCCCTCCCGGCGGGTATCCCCCAAGAGGGCCAGCCAGAGCCTACCCGCCGCGACGTCTTCCGGGTGACAGCGCACGCACGCGGCCCCGCCCCAGTGAGAGCCGGAGCTGAGCGCGGGACCCGCCCCTGCACTGGAGCTGCACCCAGGCGTAGGGGCAGCACCCAGCCCCGAACTGCTCCCTGGGGCTGAGCTGCAGCAGGACGCGGCGGGGCGCTTCATTCACCCCACGCCAGACCTTTTCCTCCAATACCCTCCCTGCATGCTCTCCCTAACCACCTGAGGCCACCCCCTACAGGTTTCAGCTAAAAGGCATCCCGAGGTCCCCCAAAGTGTAATTTCAATCTTGTATTGGAAGGCATCCTCTCAGCCCATGTTGAAAAACGCTCCCCCTCCTCACACTGGGGGTTGAAGCCTGTAGCTCAGTTAGTAGAGTGCTTGCCTAGCACGCATGGAGCCCTGGGTTCCATGCCCAGCACTGGGTCCATAGGATGTGGTGGCACAAGCATGTAAAACTAAGGGTCACAGCTCCCTCAATCTAGAGGTCAAATGAAATGTGCCCAGTCCCAATCTGTTTATTAGATGTGAGACCTGGCCTAGGCTTAGCCAATCAACTGCTTCCACACAGGTTTTTCCACTTTGTGGGAACAATACAAAGATGCAACAAAAGCCAGGGGTGGAACCAGCTAGGCAAGGATAAGGAGTGTGTGGGACGACCGACAGCGTCCTGTGAGCCCCTGCCTTAACTGTGGGCGGAGCTTGTTCTGAGGACTTCCGGTTATTCTGTAGTAAATTCCGTTCTCCATCCACTCCAGTCAGAAGGACTCTGCTGCTTACAGCTTAAAGCCACAGCAACAGGGAGCGCATCCTCACTGAGCTGTCTCAGTGCCAGGCTGCCAGAGGCTCTGCCATTGCCTTCCTGGAGACTGTCATACAAAACGACACCCTCAGATCTTTTCAGGTCACATGGTCTTGGGGATTCGTGTATTCCAGTCCCTTGCGGAGATAATTATTAACTGTACCAAGACCATTCTCTCCTTTCTTTTTCAAAACTGTGATGTAAAGTCCATAAGCTAAAGTTCAGGTCATGATTCGAGACCTTCTTATACCATGGCGAGGTACAAAGCCCAACGCAAGATCTAGAACCCCAGGACGTGCCTCCGTTCTTCTGCTTTGGTGGCCCCTATCCACTGGAAGCCCAGAGCTTTCCAATCTGATTAGAGATTGTTGGAGAATCTCAGGGCTCCTACTTTTGTGTCTTGGGGCTTGAGGGGAATTTGACTTTGTTTCATCTAAGTTTACATGTTTCATATCCAATGTTCTTTATAGGATAAAAAAATTTATAGTGTAAAAAATTCCATGGTTCTTATGCACTTCATGGGCCCCTTCCTTCATCCAAAAAATACATAAACAAAAGAAAAATTAAAAAACAACAACAACGACATACAGCCAGGAGGCCTTTAGTCCCAGCACTCGGGAGGCAGAGGAAGAAAGATCTCTGTGAGTTTGAGGCCAGCCTGGTCTACATATTGAGCTTCAGGACAGTCAGACTACATCCAGCAACCCAGCAGAAAAAGAAAAGCACTTAGGAGCTGTCCAGAGGGATCTTCAGGCAAAAGCACTCTCCTGAAACTTGACAACTGGGGTTCAAGCATCGGACCCCACGTGGTCGAAGGAGAGAACCCAAGGACTTCTTCACTAAACACTCACCCACCCCAATAAATAAATAAATAAATAAATAAATAAATAAATAAATAAATAAATAAATGTAAGAAAAATGGTTTTAGAGTACATACACTTAAAAGTGTACCTTAGACCCACATTCATTTCTGGGGCCCTGGAGCCGTGCCCTGTGACATGAGGGTCAGTCAGCCCTGGAATGTTTCTTTTTAAGTAGCTGTCCTATGGTGCTGTCTCCTCCTCAGGGCATAACATGGTGCCACCTTGGATTTTGCCCGTAGCCATGGCAACTAGAACACAGCAATGCAGTGGTAGGGAAGTCTGTTGTAAAGAAAACATTGGTGGGGCTATTAACATTCCTTAACAGGTGTTTTAAAAAGCCATAAAGCCCTCCTCCCCTTGCTGACCCCAGCTGCAAGGGATCTTAGGAGAATCTAGACTACATTCAGAGTAAAAGGTTAGTCTCAAGAAAGTCCCCATGATGTAACTTCAGGAGGTCACCCCCCATGGTGGGGTGCATCTCTGTGGCGATGCAGCCATTTGGGAGTCACCCACACACTTGCCAGGCACTCTTCACTCATGTTCTGTAAACACCCCCCAACACCTACCAGCAAAAGTATTGGTCTCAGCCAGTGGGACTTTAGTAAAATCTTATCTGACTGTCTTTGGCGTCCTTTGGGGGTGAATTGAAAGACGAAATGAATTATCACAGTTGCATTCTGCTATTCCAGGAGGCTGGACTCACCCACATCCTGCTTGTAAACAGGTCAGGTTGTTTCCAGTCCCTTCTGTTATAAACAAGGGCCTGGACACTTTGCAGCACTCTCCCAGGGCCGGTGCACAGTCCCAGACTCACAAGTCTTCCAAGGTCAGAGGACTCCTCTCCATCCTTTAGGCCCGAGTTCTACGTTGTATCACACACAGCTGAGCATTTGGAGTCTGTTTCGCAGGACCACTTTCAAGATGACTTTGGGATTCAGACCTCACCCAGGAGACTGGAGCAAAGGGAATGTGTGCTCATCTGATTGGGTTACAGAGCAGGCCTCCTCCTCCCCTTCCTTCTCGCCTTCAGTGAGGTGCTGGTGAGCCAGTGCTAACCTGGAGGAGAACAGAGTTGGACACAGAGTCCTCGAGGTCTTCACAAAGCTAAGATGCCTACCTGCCCTGACGCCCCCTCTTCTGCACGGTGCAGGTGTAGGAAAGCAACCTCTGCCATACCAGAGCCACCAACAGCTCAGACAGAATTTCCCGTATTTAAGATCTCTAAACAGTCTTGCCAAGGGATTCTCTTATGAAAGACACACACTGGGACGAGTGATAAAGAATGGGGCACCAGGCCCAGTCACTCTGCACAGGAGGCAAGCTTGTGAATGTTTGGTGCATAAAGCATCACACGCCCCCCCCCCCCCAGGAGCTGGGGCTGGGGCTCCGGCAGCAGAATCTCTATTCAATACTTGTGTGGACGCGCGCACACAAACTAAGCGCAGTGTCACACGCCTGAAGTCCCAGCACTTATGAGGTGGGGACAGGAGGAGCAGAAGTTCAAGGTTATCCTGGGCTACTTAAGAGCCTGATTCCTCTCTCTTTCTTTCTCCCTCTCCCTTTCCCCTCTTCCTTCTCTCTCTCTCTCTCTCTCTCTCTCTCTCTCTCTCTCTCTCCCTCTTTCCCTCTCCCTTCCCTGCTCCCTCTCTGTCCCCAGGTGTTCATAGGGTAGATGGTATCTTTTTCATTAAGGAGCTGAGCCTATGCCACATGATAGGCAGTCAGAGCATCAGGGCTGTAGACACTCGGAGACAAGAGAATGGAAAGACTTAAGAAGGGAATGCTGGAAGACCTGCCTGCCAAGTTCAGGTTTGCCCTGGTGTCTGACCTGGGTGAAGCCTCTTTGTTTACCCAGTCTGTCATTCTCCTTCCTGCAAAATGGAGGTTGTTTCATTATGTGTGATTTTTCTCCAAAGAATAATAGGCTACTAGTATAGAATGCTAGTGTCGGGTTAAGCAAAGACTGCATATTGTTGGAATATCTCTTGAGCAGAGATGCAGAAACTCAGAGAGCTCTGAAAACAGGATGGAGAGGCTAGCTCGTGGAGCTGGTTCCCACCCTGAGGACCTAAGGGTCTTCACTTTAGAAAGTGGTATTTCAATTGCACTTTAACTCTTTCTACTTCAGGTGTTTGAAAGCCCAGTTTAAACTGTCTCGAGCAAAATAGGAAAATGTGCATAACAGCAGAGGGCTGGAACCCAGACCTCTGCTGGCTTAGGCAAGCCCCTTAGCCTTTCTGACGCTGGGTTTCCCATTCATAGGGTTGAATGATGACAGTGGCCTCAGGGCTTCCTCTGGAAAGCATCTATTCACCTGCTTGGAAAGGGAGAATAACCATTAGCAATGCTTTTACCTTTCTTTAGATGCTGAAGCACACGGTGGGGATTTCTGTTCGGCTACTCCAGGGCATCTCTTTAGAAAAACAATGGCAGATGAAACTTTAGAAAATATAAAGCTGCCTGAGCTTGCGCAACTGCCTAGCTCAGGATCAGTAATGATTTTTGTTGTTGTTGTTGTTGTCTTGCTTGCTTGTTTTTCATTTCCAGATGTGGTCATGGGTCTCTCTGTCTGTGCACTGGTATGCCTGAAAGAAGCCCAAACAAGGCATCGGATTCCGTGAGCTGGAGTTACACGCAGTTGTGGACCGAAGCAGTCTGCTCACAGAGCCTCAGGCATGCTTTCTTTGGGTGGGGAATAGGGAGTGAGATAAGGTTTCTCTGTGTAGCCCTGGCTGGACTAGAACTTACTCTGTAGACCAGGCTAACCTTGAATTCACGGAGATCCACCTGCCTCTGCCTCCAGGGTGCTGGGATTAAAGGTGCGTGCCACCACCTGCGTTCTTTTTATTTTTATTTATTTTTATTTTTTTTTCGAGACAGGGTTTCTCTGTGGCTTTGGAGCCTATCCTGGCACTAGCTCTGTAGACCAGGCTGGTCTCGAACTCACAGAGATCCGCCTGCCTCTGCCTCCCGAGTGCTGGGATTAAAGGCGTGCGCCACCATCGCCCGGCCCACCACCTGAATTCTTAACTGTTGAGACATCCCTAGGACTGGCTGCTTTTAAAGCTGCAGAAGGCAGTTTGCTAATCAGTTAAAGGAGAACTTCACTGTGGGAGGGGATGTCCTTGGGGTGTGTTTCCTCATAATATCCCCCAAAGAGACAGTCTTTTGCTTAGGGGGTACATATGGCCACATAGGGAACCAGGTTCCAAGTCTCCTGCTTCAAAAATATAATATCCAGGGGCTGGAGAGATGGCTCAGTGGTTAAGAGCATTGACTGCTTTTCCAGCGGTCCTGAGTTCAATTCCCAGCAACCACA